CAGCAGAGTCTCATGCTGTGAAACCCATGCTGTGAAACCTTCACTGAAAAGGTCTGTTCAGGATAACAGTTCACCCCAAGGGAGAACAGCAGAGACGGGCACAGCCCCTCGCAGACATACACACGGTATGAAATCATGGAGGAAGAATGAAACAGCCCTGTATGTTGCTGTAAACCGTGGAGTCACGAAGGGCCCAGAGTCATATCGAGAACACACACAGCGCACATGCATCTTTTGACAATGTCTTATGATGTCAAGCCATTTTGTGCGCACGTGAATAAGAAATCAGTTATGTGTGTCACTCAGTGTGTGATTTTACTGCGACAGTCCCACGCCTGTCCTTAATCCTGTCCGTTCTGCACTAATTTTTTGTGATCTCCTGACATGAATGGAAGCAAAAGGATTTCTTAAATTATTTGTAACAGAGGCCATCAAAATAAAGACTAAATATCTCATCCGTGTCCTCAATAAGGGTGTGTGCGCTGCTACCCGGGAACAAAAACAACAAACAGCTGTTCTGCTCGCTCACAAACCAAGCGCGTGTCAGAGCGACGAGCCCGCCCACAATAGTACACAGGCCCCGCCCCGGGCCCGCTGATTGGCACGGGCATTCTTTTGTTCCTCTTTTATTGGCTACTTTGTCCTGCAGCCAACTGAGGGGGAGCCACGTGAGTCGAGTTCCAGCCGGTTCGAACCGGTGAGGCGCGAGATTTCTGCAGTCGCTCTCTTGTGCACGCGGACTGCTGTCTTTATTCACAGTGCTCGAGAGGATGCAGCAGGTAGGCTCGTGCCACCGGAGCTGCGGTTCGGTGTTTTGACAGCAGCGCAGTTTTAAAGGGGCGCCGTTGAAAGTACTGTACCCCCCCCCCCCACAAAGGTTGGTCTTCCCCCCTCCCCAACAAATCCCATTATTGTGTGGGGTTGAGTATTTTTTAAAAGGCAAGTTTTAAAGAAACGAAAAAATAAAGTACAGCAATATGAGACGCATATAATCCCTGCACTACCATAGCAAGAATAATGAAATCGCTTTAATAAGAAAGTAGAATAAAGTGATAGGGTGAATTGGATAACGAAATAAGCAATATTTTAGTCTAGGGGCATCAATCGAAGCGACGCGTTAGATCAACAGCGCAGGCTGTTCCTGCAGTGCAGACCCAACACCAGCTCAAACCGGAGCTCTTCTCCGCAGCCCGCTGTCCCCGTTCAACAGCAGGGGTCTGACATCTTGTCCACCTCTGTTTCAAGCGCACAAACAAACCCTCGAGTGTTCGGGTCCTGACGCTGATAAAAACCCAACAGAAGTGGCTGTTTTCGTTCGAAACAGCTCCAGTGCAAATATTGAACAGCTCAGTAGCGGTAGGATCAAGGCAAGGCACATAAGAGTACGAACGAGTATTGTAACATTCCTACTAACGGGACTGTCGTGATAACACGCCCGTTTGCTCGGGGCGACAGTCCGCAATACCAACAATTTGCACATTTACATCGGCAAAATATCAATATTGGCGTACAACTGCAGGTGTTCCTAACTTGCGTCTCCAAAGGTACTGTATTCCAAAAACAGTTCTTCGTTATTGAAACGTTCATTATTATCTTTTCTAATTAGTTTCCCCCCACTTTATTCTCCCATTTACCCCATCCAGCCACCCCCTCCGCTCACCAGTAACACCGAACTCGCCCCAGCAGTCGACACCTCTCTTCCCCGTGTGCTACAAGTGCAGACCTGGGCTCACACAGCCTCTGCCGCCGCTTGCAAGCCGATGGAAAATATCAGCGGCTGTTATGTGCTGGGACAATATTGTAACGATGAAAACATCCTTAAACAGAGGATGTCAGATCACAGCATCCTGCTCGGAGCTCCATCCGCCACTGTGCGAGTCGCTCCGTCCATTTAAATGATAGAACCCTAAAAACAAGTTCCCGAACGCTGCTGCATTTAAAAGATCTGCATTTTAACTATTCGCCTTGTTCTATACGAATCAACCCCAGTGTTGTCCCTTTAAGTCAAGCGCAAGTCAGCCCTCCAAAGATAGAGAAAACATGTTCGCATCTCAATTAATTTGCGTTTTTTTCTCCGCTATTGACAACATTCCTTACAAAACCATTGCTCTCTCTTACTTGCAGGTGACTTGTCATCCCATTCTGAGCCCTTGATTTCATCAATATTGTGCTAAATTGTATTTTCTGTTATTTTCCTCAGGGGAAACAGTTGTTACAGCCTCGGCGCCGCTGCGTCACGTCACGTCATACCTGCGCGTGTCACTGATCCTGAGCGAGACCTTCAGCTGTCTCGAGCGCTTCTCGGTACTCTGTGATGCTGCCGCGAGCCCCGGACCCCACAGCCCTTTTGCACCCCTCGCGCCCGCACACCGCCGTTTTATCGCCGCGAACAGCGGCGCACAAACAAGGCTGCGCCGCGATTGGTCAGCCGAGCGGCTGGAAACAGAGCTCAGCCAATCGGGAACCGGCTTCTGGAGCAGAAACTCCTCGCACCGTCTCCTGCTCAACAAAGGAGGAAAACAAGGTGCCGAGCGCCAGTTCCCCTGTTTGTGCGGCCGGGGGCCCAGAGGTCTGAGACTGTGTCACTCTTGATGGCCTGTCAATAGCACGTCCCTCTTGAGCTGCAGATAAGCGCAGATAACGAGCGAGCCGCGCTTTCACCGCAACATGCACTCGCTATGTGCGTTGAACCCGAAACATCTCAGGACTGGAAGGAGGTCTGGGCTTGCAAACTAAATAAATGCAAACTTGAGACGTCAGCGAGAAGATGTTTTCACGTTTCATGTTCTGTAGTTGACAACTGGATTTCACAGACAAAGAAAAGGGATTTCAATGCCGGTGTTGACTTAGGGCTTATATCCCTGTTAGGTCTGTAGCCCTGTTAAAACTTCCTACAGGTTGAAAAACCGTAGACCTGATCAATCCAGTCATATTGTTACTTATTAAGAGCAAGAAAAGACTAGGTTAAACTACAATACCGCCGCAGCGCTTACTCAACAGGAGCACCGGTGTATTGTATTCTACATGCAATTGGGAACTTTGTTTCCAGTTTTGGAAAAACAGTCATATCTGGGAAGTTTTTTAAAGTCTTGTTTTGCAGCTCTGCTTCTCGTCCCCTCCCCCCGCCCTGCGCTGTTTTCTCAGACCCCGATCAGATTTCAGTTGTTTTCCACTGTCCTGGGATCGCTCCTGGGACAAGCCCCACTTTCGCGTGTTTCAGTCGCAAAACCCGGAGACACAAAGGTTCAAAACAGACTCGTTTGTTTCACTGCACAGCACAGCCTAAAACACAACAGTGAAAACTTCCGGCGCTAAAATGTGCTGAATCTTGTCTGTACGTGTGTTGTGGCTCGACAATATTGTCAAGGCGGTCTAAGGATGAGCGGGACAGCGCCGCAGGAAAGACGGGCGTCACTGCGCTGCGGCCATTGTTGGTTGCCTTAGTAACGATGGATGCGGAGCAGGACTCTCGAGGGACAAGAGCACACAGCTCGTGCTGAGGGCAACACCGACAGGGACACGACCACCCCGCCGCCGTGCGGGCTTCAGAAATAACGCTTAAGATTGCAAAAGTCTGTGTATATGATCATGAAGGAAGCTATTCACCCCCTCGAGTGTCTTTTCGTATTTTCTTGCACGTACAGTATTTGAACGCTCTTAGTTTCCGAAGTGACTCCGAGATTCTAGCTCCTGAAGACAGGTGTGAGGGCGCTTCACCTGCGTGGACAAGAGCGCCCCTTCACAGAGGACGGTCCCCTGTCCACTCTGCTGTGGGTCACCCCTGGTTCACCCCTCTCGCCAGTGCACGATTCGGATGAATTATAACAAGACCCGCTGTACTAATTCTCAAATAATCTTGCGTTTGATAACCAGGAAAAACCTAACCCGGAGCCAGTTACTTCCACATTGAAGCAAAACACGACATATAAGGTTTGAAGCCGGTGTCTGGGCTCGGGTGGCTCAGAAGTGTCCATTGCTAAACAAGCGTTATTCTCAGCGTTGTTTGAGGGTGTGGCGTCAGGGATTTCAAGTTAAATTCAGAAGGGAACAAAGGCAGGTCACCCGGTGGTCGCTTGCGTTGAAGACACAGCGACCTTTAAGTGGGAAATACCATTGGCCTGTGCAATTTCTGTCCCGGCATTCTCGCGTTCCTGCAGTGTAAGCACTCCTGCTTGTTTTCGATGGCAGGAGCACTTTATATAAGGTGTTTACATCTCGGTACTGACTTCGGTGTCGAAACGCTGCTACATTGCCAAACAGGGACACTGGGTCAGCGAGACAGCGATATCCGTAACCCGCTCCCCTATCTCCGTCTGGCTCCAAGACGGGGAGAAAAAAAAATGTTTTTCAGAAAGATACAAGTGTTTTCTACGGGGCGGCGGACAGATTAGGCTGCATTTTCCAAGGCAACTTGGAGCTTTTCTGTCCGGGATCATCTTGCAACCTAACTGAAAGGACGGAATAAGAATGAAAGAGTTTGGAAACACGCCTGCACCCTACAAGAATCTTATATTTCAGGAGAGAATAGCTAATGCACAGTAAGAGACAGGAAAGGGAGGAAACAGCATACATCAGCTACTGAACAACCGATCTAATCTTATTTCCTACATACAGTTTAGTGTCTTCACAAACAAGAGAAAGCTTACAAACGGAACGTCATTTTTTCCTCATCGGGTTAGACGAGTTACTAACTGATTTCCTGATCAGGATCAGGAACTGATAATCCAGTGATTCCTCAAGTACGCCAGAGTACCAGCTTTAGAAATATGGCCCGGTAGTTGTTCCAGACATCCACAACCCGTTGTGTAAAGAAGAGCCTCTGTTCTCAGTTCCCCTGTAGTTTCTACTCGTGTCCTCTGGTTTGGTATTGATTCAGAAGTAGCCCGTTGGGTTGTCAGTGTCTTTGAAGATTTTGAAGACTTGAACCAGTTTTTTCGAATTTTTGGTTAAAGATTGAAATACTGATTACAGGACGTTTTTTAGCGCTTCGATTGTATTTTTGCACTTTCAATGTCTTTTTGGGAGGTGTTAAGCAGAACTGTACACAATTATGTTCACGTCTTACTAGCATATAATATATATACTATATGCTATATACTACTGTAGCATTGTATCATTTTTGCATTTCCTCCTTTGATTTCAATTCTAAACTATATTACGAAAAATATGTGCGTCTTTTTATTGCTTCCCACAGCTTCATGGCCACTCATTTTATACCGTAGCGCCCTCTAGTGGATCAAAGTTGTCAAGTACAGCAACGCCGCCGAGCTTCGCGCTTCGCTTTCTTCCACAAATCGCAGGACTCGTCAGGGGGAAGTGAACGGCAGCTAATCCTGCCCTCTAACGTCGGGTCAGCGCACCCCCGTGCGGACTAACCTTGGAGCGCAACAGCTCCTGCCGGAGGCTGTGTGATTGACCGCCATGTAAACAGACAGGAACCGGAACCGCGTGCGCGAACCACGAGATGTCGCCAGATTTACTCATTTCATACCATATTTCTGGGAAGGAAAAGGTCTTTGTGACTTAATAATAGTTAATAATTTCTTACGCTTCTACAGCACTTTTCTGGACACTCCACTCAAAGCGCTTTACAGGTAATGGGGATCCCCTCCACCTCCACCAGTGTGCAGTGTCACCTTGATTATGTGACAACAGCCATAGTGCCCCAGTACTCTCCCCACACACCAGCTCTCAGAGTGATGAAGCCAGTTCAGAGATGGGGATTATTAGGAGGCAATGATGGGTAAAGGCCAGGGGGAAATTTGGCCAGGATACCGGGGTAACACCCCTCCTCTTTTCGAGAAACACCATGGGATTTTTAATGACCACAGAAAGTCAGGACCTCGGTTTTACATCTTTTCTGAAGGACAGCAACTTTTTACAGTATAGTGTCCCCCGTCACTATACCAGGGCATTAGCACCCACACAGACCGCAGGGTGAGCGCCCCCTACTGGCCTCACTAACACCTCTTCCAGCAGCAGCCTTAGCTTTCCCAGGAGGTCTCCCATCCAGGTACTGACCAGGCTCACACCTGCTGGAATTCAGTGGGCTGTTGGCCTAAAGGACTAGAAGAGTTTCATTCAGCGACATCCAAATATTTTTAAGCAGAAATCTTCCGTCTTAAGCCTAACGTTTATTATCTACTCTTAATATACGATGCTTTAAGAAGAGAAGGGTCTCAACCCCACACACACAGGGCTTGAGTGAGAAGACAGTACAGGTAGCCCAGCTCGCGAAGCACATTTGCCAGCCTTGTAATTTGTTCATCTTCATCTTACTTTTGCAAACAGCATTGTTTCTTAAAAGCCCTTTCACTGCTCTGGTCTGTTCCTACGAGCTGGGGCAGCGTCTTGGCCGGGGCACTGCAGTCATGTTGTGAAACTCACTTCTCCACTGTGGCTGGAAGAGGCCAGTATGAGGCACCCAGCTGGCTGCCGGCAGCACACACGCTCAGGGAACTGCGCAGGCAGCAGACACCTGCAGGGAACTGCGCAGTCAGCACACACACACAGGGAAATGCGCAGGCGGCACACATGCGCAGGGAAATGCGCAGACAGCACACACACAGAGGGAATTGCGCAGGCTGCACACACCTGCAGGGAACTGCACATGGAGCACAAATGCTCAGGGAACTGCACAGGCAGCACACACACGCAGGGAAATGCGCAGGCAGCACACACATGCGCAGGGAACTGTGCAGGTGGTACACAGACAAGACTGCACAGGTAGCATGGTGCTGTAGCTAGCTGCTGTGCACACAGACAGAGAGAGACAGGGAAACAGCTCAGAGACTAGGGCATGCTGTGGCAAGAAAGCAAGACAACCAGGAAGTAATCGCAGTCCGAGATCATGTCAAGCAGGGGAAAACAAAACTAAGCACAGTCCAAAGCACAAAAGGGAGTCAAGAGAACACAGTAAAGCACAGATCAAAGCAAAGAGCCAATTCAGGAGAATAGTAATAGTCAAAAACAATGTCTGAAGCCGAAAATGCAGGGAAGTATCCAACTCAGAGGATGATCTGAAACACAAGTTACAAAGCAAAGCAAAGGTCAGAATTCCAAACCTCTAGGGCACAACACTAGAGAAACATGGGAACAAAGACTCGAAGGGCTCAGAGATAACACTACAATTAAGCCCTGAGCTCTGATTGGTCCGAGTATTTAGGTTCCAAATTACCTGGAAGGGGAACAGTCATAACCAGGTGATCCAAGCAGCCTGTCAAATGATTTCCATGGCAATCGGCGCTGGAAGATGGGTTGGGCAGCAATGTAACCAGCTGCCGTGTGTGAGGACGTGGCTCAGCTGGTGCACCACGTGTGAACCTATTTACACAAGCGAGGCCTTAACAACTTCTCGTGGCAGGTCAGCAGAAATCGCGCTCAGTTATTGCCGCTAGCTGCCACACTCTCTGAGTCCCCAGTCCTCTGCTGGGGCCGTCAAAGAGCCCCCAACCTTGCAGACCCCTCAGGGGCAAAATACGTCACACAGAATTGGGGGATCGAGATGAAAGTCGGGGCGGATTCAGCCAAATCCCTAAGAATGACAGCTGGAAGACCTTGTCACGGATGTTGGAAGGGACGAGCCCTGGAATGGCAGGAGAGCCAAAAAGACCCTATGCGTAGCGGCGAGATGGGGATTAACCCGGGCTCAGGAGGTCAGACGATGTCGGGTAGAACCTAAGCCCTCAGGCCGCGGAGGGGACGACCTGGTGCTGGGTGGGTCTCAAGACATCCGAACTCCCAAGGGTGACCCGGAAATAAACAGCCCCACACAAAGACACACCAGAAGGACAAGCAAAGCACAAGGAAACTAGGAACAGGATAGAGTAGGAGCGCCCTCTAGCTGGAGAGGGCATGACAGACCGGGTGCTTCTGCTGGACAAGGCAGGGCCGCAGGTATAAATGACCATGATGCTCAGCTGCTGCTCTTCCTATGGCTACAGATGCCTGCAAAGGTGTAATCAAGGACAGACCAGGAGGTCAACACTTGCACACTAATAAGGGGGTTACAAGAATGGATTGTTCCCAAGAGAGGGACTTTTGAGTATATCATCTGCGTCGTTTTACTAGACTTTTTTGTTTACTTTTGCTTCTCTTTGTTTTGCCTTGATTGTGAGAGTCTGGGGTAAGATCTCCCTCCTCGGCTTGCATCAGAGTTTTGTAATTTTCTGGAGAAGCAGACAGAGAAACTTTCCAAGAAACGCTCTTTCTTGAAATTACCGCCTTTTAGCAGCACTGCTATGGCTTCCTGAAACCCATCTCAAACAGATCCTCAGCCAGAGATCCAGGGGAATGAGAAGTGCAATGTGCAATAACCCCTCACACTGTTTTCACTTTTGATCTTTTTGGAAGAATACTTTCCAGGTGCATTATATTAGGCTAACCCCAGTACTGACTGACTTGAGGACAGCGCCTACTGAGAGCTTTCTATCAAAGCTCTAATAAAGTCAATGAATCAGTCAGTTAATGAATGCATAAATCGAGGCGACTGGACACACCATTACCAATATTTTAAAGACGCCCAAAAACCTATTGAATTAATGAATGATTACAGTTGTCATGTTTATTGAACATTTCTTCACTGCTACGGATTTCAAAGGGTGAGATATACGAAATAAATATGCATAAAAATATGATTTTCTGTGGGTTTAACAGAAAGTGACGAAGACCATATTTTGCAAAAGAAGGAGAGCACATAAACCATTTTTTTAATTCCTCCAACCAAGAAAGAGAAACTGTTTTTTTTACAATATTCAATTTATGCTGTTTGCTGTTTTCCCCTTAAAATGTGGAAAAACCAAAGATCTGGAATCGACTCATTCCTTATAAGGTATGATTAGTTCACAGTGGAAGGGGAACCTGAAACTGATGATGCAATACTTTCACTGGGGCCACAAGAAAGTCTTCACTTGACCACTGGAGCCTGATCTGTGCAAGCAGGATCATCAAATTTGTACTGAGCAAGCAGCAGCAAAAGTACCTCAACGAAAAATAGTTTCTGTGCTTTCTGAAATACGTAAAGATGACAAAAAAGTAGAAACTCTAAACTATAATTATAAAAGTAACTTGAGATCACATCGGAAACTGTTAGTAAAATCACATGTGAAATGAGGACAAACTATCAACAGGGGCTCCACTGCACTAATAAGAAACAAGTCATGGCTGAAAGCTTTGTAGGTACTGTATGTACCAGAGTAATGTATCCATTACAAGTAAAGTATACAGATTAAATTAGGCTAAATATGCAAGCAAAGTAAAGCCAAATCAACATTCTCATTCCTCTCAGTTAAGATCTTTTTTTAATTATGATTTGATCATTCCGGGATGCTGTATTTACAGATAACAGAAAGGGACCCGATCTGTGCTGAAAAGCCTGAAGGATGTGTCCAGATTTTTGATATGCAACCAGAGACTCAGTCATCAGTCATCCAACATCCATGACAAAACCTTCTCTGAAACACGTCTTCAGTAGAGGCACTGGGGGTGTCCTGTTTGAAGGATCTTTCAGAATGTCGTGTTTTCCATTAGGGAACAGAATGACAAATGGATGACATGAGATAGTCTCCCCCGAAGCTTTTAAAATAATTTGGGTTTCTTCTATAAAAAATAAACTTCCAGAAAGGCTCTAGTCTAGAAAAATGGCAACATAACTACATTTCAGAATTGATTCATCAGAAGAGCACACTGAGGGAATCATAAATTCAAATGATTAGACATCCATGTCATCCCAACTCATAAAAGCTCTTGGATGGTTAACGAGTTTCTCTTTATTAAATGAGCAGCTTGACTATGCAGTGTGGAGAAGTGGGATCGGTAAAATGGATTTAGGCTGGGGGTTCAGTCTAGAATTGGACTGTAATGTGTTATTATTTCTGCATGTATGTCCATAATATGATTAAAATAAACTTATAAGAACACTTAGAGAGAACTCCTATCTAAAGAGCATCTTATTGGTTTTCAACAATTTTTTTTATCAAATGCTTTATCAAGTGCTGGTTGTGTGGCCACATCTTCTTTCAGATGCTTTCTGAATAACTTAGTAGATACGTTTCCCCGATGAAGAATTCACCTGAATCGTGTGCTTGGTCATTCTGAAATGGAGCTATGAAACTTACTTAGAAACTTACAGAGAGGTTAAAGAAAGAGTACAACACTAACAGGTTTGACTGTCCCTACACAACTGCATGGTTTCCTCTTAATTTGATGTCTCATTGAAGATTCAGCTGGCTGACCTGTTCCACTGTAAACTAAGAGACTTTCCACATCTTGACAGACACCTTGGGCCATTGGTCCTTTCTCAAGTCTTAACACATGAAGTAATTAATACATTTATTTACATGAAAGCTGACATATGCAAACATTTTATATAGATACAGATAGTGGGATTTCTGGTAGAGAAACGAATAATTCTTTGCTAGGATGTCCTAACATTCCCCCTTGGAAACTGTCACCAAGGGACATCACGGAGTGTGGGGAGAATTCTGATAAAAACATGCGATATTACAGCAAACACAGCTGTAGCTCTGAAATACTTTTCCAAATACATCCGGATGGAAGCTTTAATAGCTGGTTCCCCTCAGACTTCAGGCTGAGGTGTTTTTTGGTTTTCCTTCAGTTTCCCTGAGAGGAGAGCAGGGGATTTGTGTTCGCAAACTACTGTTTTGAACACATAAAAGGTCCCAAAGGTTTTGCTGCTATCTTGGCAGTTTTTCTTCTCCTTTTCTGGAGTCACTCTATTATAAAAGGCCAGGACAAGGTGCAGTGAAGCACAGAAGGTGCATCAAGAGCCATCAGACCTGCAGGTGAGAAGCGCCGAGCTTGACTTGGTTCCCTGTTTATCAGGGAGTCATTATCTTTTCCTTTAGATTTGTTAACTTAAGAGAATCACTTCTCAGTGTCCTATGCAGAGTGGTACTCAGACTGTTGTTAATTACATTTTTATTTTTTATCCATGTGAAGGTAGTTTATTTTGAGTGACTTATTGCAAAACTGTGAAAAGCAATTAAAACACTGGGATCAAATTTGACACTGATTAATCTGGAATAGAATTGGGATAATTCAAGGCAATGGATAAGGCTAGGCTTCCGTTGTAAAAGTACTACAAAGAAAGATTAAATGAATTCATTATTTGTCTTTTGGGGATACAGTGTAAAGGTGGACCTATTCCATTATCTAATAAATGTATTAAATTATACGAGTATGTGTGTCTGGATCAGTCTTACTGTAGTAAGAATGGGCTCAGGTCTGTGTTTCACACTGGTCACTCCCTCTCTGTCAGGTTCAGGACCAGTTGACTGGCAGTCCTGACCGGTATCTCTCTTTTCCTCCAGATACCCCTCTCATCAGCCCTGCTGCCATGCTGTCGCTGTACCTGCTCCTGTGTGTGTGTGTGTCTGTATTGCCCCCTGTGGCTGCAAAGGAGCCTTTCTCCTACACCCAGAGCCTCATCCTCACGCGCAAGATCCACAGAGACATCTGCAGCCTGCTGGCCCAATACGTAAGAGATCCTGCTTTTACAATGGAGTGAGGGTGCCTGCTGTTACATACAGCCCTGCTCTTTCCCTTCTGTATGCAACTCATTTTAAAAAGCGGTGGGCTGATGCCAAGATCAGTGGGCACCTTGCAAAACCTGTGTGCTTCACTCCTGTGTGCCAGGAGAGTCAGATACCACAGACTGGAAATCATCCCAGAGCAGGGTCTGGACACAGCTAGTGTGTTACTGCTTGGCTAATCTCTTCAGAGGCTAGTTTAATTACACAATGAGGGGTTGATTTTGCCACAGTCCTGCAATGCAATGGATTTGGAGGACTGCTAAAGCCCAAGGAACCAAAGACCCCTGCCCACTAAGTGCAGTGTTGTGTCTGGAGCCTCTCCGTGGACACACAGCCAGGAATCACGTTCGATTTGTTCTGCAGAAGGAGGATCAGATGGGAAGCAAGGACTTTGAAGATCACAGCCTGGTGCTGACCAGCCTGCCCTCCTCCACCATGAACTACTCCAGCTGGCTGAACATGGAGGTAAGAGGCGTCTCCACTGCCCCTGGATCCTGGGTCTCTTTCTAATGGTATAATTACAAGTCAGCTTGATAGAAAAAACAACACGTATTTGCAAATACCATTTGTTGTACTGCCTTACATTGTACCACATAAGTAGGTAGCTCTTAATTACTCTGTAGCTCCTACATTTGTGTGGGCGGTGCAAGATCCCTGAACTGCAGCTCTCTGTATTCCCCTTGCCTGCTTGTATTACACAGAGTAATCATGTGGGTTTCCTTTAAAATGCCGACTCCAACACTTTCCACTCCCACTCCTGTCAGAGAAAAAACAGCTCTCCGAGAACTCTGTCTAATTCCAGTCAAGACTGATCACACACACCCCACACCACAGAACCTGTGTCATTTCACTGACAGAGGTTAGGGCTGTCCTCTCGTCTCTACACTGCGCAAGTAAGAGAGGCAGACCAGAATTACCCAAGAAGAGAAATCAGGTATGGCACAAAGGCTTGTAAACCACTCACCCCTGATCGACTGTCCCCTCCCAGGACACAGCTCGACTCCAGACCGACGCCAGGGATCTCCATGTGTTCGGGATTCACGTTGATGCCAAGCGCCTCTACGAGCTGCAGGGCAGGGTGCCGTCTCCTCTGAGCCGCGCACTGTACATGGTCGTGCTGGACATCCGGGACCTCGTCCACCAGATCAGGCAGCAGGTGGTGCTTTAGGACGTGTCCTGGGTTAGGAAGCGTCAGAGCATTCGCCGTCCTGGCCCTTACACTCATAGGGGCTGCTGCACCCCTAAGGCCACACCTGCCCTCCCAACTGCCAAGACATAAACTGCTGCAAGCTGGGAGCAGAAACAGCTAACATGGTCAAAACTATGCAGGAGCCACTGACAGCGTAGGAACTTCTTCTGTGGGCAGATCATCCTTGCGATGTGAAGTAGAGTAGTTGAATAAATATGAGCCATCATTAGGTAATAGCTATGCAGGTTCTTTTAGTAGAAAGGGGGTAAAAAAGATCCTTTGACCAGTATTGAGAAAGTATAAAATCAGCTTTCTCATCATAAACAGCATTGCTCCTTTGTTGAACTTTGAAGCCTTGAATGGTCATCTCTAGTGGCTTAAATCGGGCACTTCAGAGGGGCTGTATTTTTAGTTAACGCAGCAGGCTGTAGTCTTGGATGTTTATTGTAAGGTACTGTATTTACCCTAGAAATCAAGATAAAAGCATGGCAAACCACAGAGCACAATGGTTAAGCGAGATACAAGCTATGGGAATGCTACAAAATTACAGTGGAGATGTGCTGCGTCGAACTGTCATACAGGCGTTCCTCCCTCATTTTCTTCCTTTCTCCCCGCAGCTGCAGTCCCTGCAGGCTCCGGCCCCAGTTCTGGGCGAGCCGTCCCTGCCCGAAAGCCTGCTGAACCCGCAGTTCCCCTGGCACAGCCGCCTGCAGGGGTACATCATCCTGCGGGACCTGGAGAGGTACCTGGACAAGGTGGTGCGGGATTTCACGCTGCTCAAGTCCAGGCAGCAGCAGTGACCCCGCCCTCCCGACACCCACCAGCCAGACCTGCACAGAGACCGGCGGCCAGGCCCCTCGGAGCACAGGCTGCCCCCGCGCGAGGCCCTGCAGCTGGGCTCCGCACGGCGAGGAGTGACTGGGGGGAGGTGGGGGTGGCAGAGCAAACTATTTATTCTTAATTTATTGTATTTATTTTTTCTATTTATGAATGAACCTTATGATATTTTGTGAATTGAATTTAATAAACAGCACCTGAAAAACCATCCTTTCTGTCCTTCATATTTTATATAACGCAACAAAGATTTACTTTGAAGGACTTCAGTGATGACAACCATAATAAACTGCTCTTAAATTACCATTCTAACCTTCAAAGAATTCTTCTGCAGTGGCGAATCTGGGCCGTACAAGTTCACTGCTCTGTTTAATGTCATGAAAAGCAGGGCTATAATAGTGTAACAATGAAGGAAAGAGTGTATGGCACATGTACACTGAGAGACACTGGCTGGACTGAGGCGTTGGGTTTGAACCTGCAAAACAACCCAGACTAGGACTCTGAAAACATAAGGAAAGCCTGATTCAACCAACAATACATTGGCTACTAAAACACTTACTGTACCTGTTAGACTGGCTACACTCTGACTCTTACTCACCAGTTAGACCAGCGGTTCCCAGTCCTGGTCTTGGTGACCCACACACCTCTGATTTGTGTCCCAGCTGAGCCCTCAGTTACACAGTCAAACCCTTCATTGACCTACTGTAATAACAATCAGATGAATCAGATCTGTTTGTTCCCAGCTCTTAAACACACAGGATCATTAACTACTGTACTTTGTAAGTGAAAGCAAATCCCAAACATGTGACTAGAAACAAAATGCAGATTTTCCATCACAGCAACGTCTTAGATCAATCAAGGCTTCTGTTGTCTAAAGAAGGTGGGGTGGAATGCAGGTGTAAGGGGCACCAGGAGCAGCACTGGGAACCACTGTGTTAGACAGCATGCTGGCTTTATTCAGTACGACTGTCATCTTTTTTCTGAAGACAACATAACAAATGATATTTGCAAATACGCCCCTGTGAATAACAGGGATGTTAGCTGCCTGCACTGAGGAAGGTCTTCTTTAGCTCAGCTGGCAAGACCGCTGTTGAGCGATGCCAGAGACCCGGGTTTGAGCCCATGTGGTGGAGGGACCAACTGGTACGGGAGCACTGAGGGCACAAGCCCAAGAGCCTGAACCCGTTACATATATTATCCATCTGATCTAATGTTTGACAAAATACTGTGTGTAGAACAAATGGGGAACATATATAAGGTTTAAACCTGTTGTAACAGAAAGAATAAGGTTCTGGATCCCGAGATGAAGTTAAACAGATGAGTTCATTGCATGCAAGGAACAATAAAGCCGAAGACTTGTTTCCCGCAAGAAACAACAAAACCGGAATATTGTTCAAAGTGCCGGTAAAAACTTTCAGTTTATATAGGGTTTTCCTGTCGCTTCTGATGTCACTCATTATTATGGTAAAGAAGGGAGGTCACGGTGTTTGGCCAGTTTACAGCCTTTTGACCAAATGGTCAGGGCTTTAAGTTACCCTCTGGGGTTTCATGGCTGGCATCTGGAACCCTTATCAGTTCTCCCTTTCCTGCCATAAACTCCTGTTGCTTCGAAGTCTAATCTTCAGGCAGAAAGGACTTAAGTTAACCTTTCACTCACTTTCCTAAGGACGGCAGCAGGCTTTTAATCTTGAAGATGAGCAAAGTTTTCACACAAAAACACATTTATGATTGGTCTGTAGCAGTTTCTTACCGTGTAAACAAGGCAATTAACCAAGACCCTAGTCAGCTAACACTCTATTCTCTTTCATGTACGATACTGTACATGATTACATCTCCTCTCAAGAGACCTTAAGGAAACCTGGCAGGCCAGGAGTGTACAAAACAGTGAAACAGTTCTTGAGGACCTAATTGTTAACTCTTAATAGGCACAGGTTCCTTCTCGGGGTCTGTGTGAACAATGATTCACTCAATATAGAAAGACAGAAAACAATGCTTGGGTTTGAAGAAAGATACAAGATGTGAAAAAGGGGTTAACCTGTTAACTTCCTCTGTCCTCCTTTCTTTATTGCAATAAAGAAATCTCCAGCTTGATGTACCAGAGCCCTGTGGTTTACTGAGAAAAGGGTCTGCCACCCTTTTCCTACATTCTGGGGTCATGGCAAGAGGACAGAACAGAGCCCTTCCTGGTGTCCTTGACCAGTGAGACCCAAGGCCCAGGGGCAGTGGAGACGCCTCTTACCTCCATGTTCAGCCAGCTGGAGTAGTTCATGGTGGAGGAGGGCAGGCTGCTCAGCAACAGGCTGTGATCTTCAAAGGCCTTGCTTCCCATCTGATCCTCCTTCTGCAGAACAAATCGAACGTGATTCCTGGCTGTGTGTCCACGGAGAGGCTCCAGACACAAAACTGCACTTAGCAGGCAGGGGTCTTTGGTTCCTTCGGCTTTAGCAGTCCTCCAATCCATTGCATTGCAGGACTGTGGCAAAATCAACCCCTCATTGTGTAATTAAACTAGCCTCTGAAGAGATTAGCCAAGCAGTAAAACACTAGCTGTGTCCAGACCCTGCTCTGGGATGATTTCCAGTCTGTGGTATCTGACTCTCCTGGCACACCTGCGCATGAGGATGAGGCTCTGGGTGTAGGAGGCTGTGTCAGAGAAAGGCTCCTTTGCAGCCACAGGGGGCAATACAGACACACACACACAGGAGCAGGTACAGCGACAACATGGTAGCAGGGCTGATGAGAGGGGTGCCTGGAGGAGAGGAGAGATGCCAGTCAGGACTGCCAGTCAACTGTTCCTGAACCTGACAGAGAGGGAGTGACCAGTGTGAAACACAGACCTGAGCCCATTCAGGCCAGCGTTAATGTGCAGGCTGAGTCTGAGCTCTCTTCCTGCCACAGTAATTCAATTCAAGTTATTTTTATATAGCATCTTTCACAACAAGGTTGCCCCAAGGCGCTTAACAATGCAAGTGAAACTTCCTGCTGGGTGTACAGACTGTCCACTATGCGCCGGGTGTACAGAGTGTCCAGTGTGTGCTCGGTGAGCACTGTGCAGTCCACTTCATTGTTCTACAAAGTGTAACACACCAGGGCAGACACAGTAATCAGCACAACTTTAAATCTGGCTCTTGTAGATGCAGTTTGGCTCGTCATTCTGTGTGGTTTACTGTTCCTCTTCCTAAAGTGTTTGTTAGAAGTGTTACCTGCTGGAAACTGAAAGCAGAAGTAAAACTCGCAAAATACCTCTGAAAATCTTGGGATCTTTAATGTGCTTAAAACATAACTCTTCAGAAGTGCACGTCTCCTTTACCCAGCCTTACAGCAATGTATGATTAAAAGACATCTTACAGAGTCCATGTGTCTTGATATTCCAGAGGCAGGCCTCTTCATCAACATATTCTGTGCACAAAAAGAAAATGTGTTGTTACGGTGTGTGAAACATTTCTCTGGTAGTTTTAGTTAGAGTAGGCGCATTTGAGCAAACAATTACGCAACAAAATCTAAATTCAAATGTTTCAAAAACGGCACGAGACGTAGCCTGGTTTCCTTCTGCAGGGACAGCCTGTCTCCAGGAGCTGCAGCTGAGTGTGGACCCTGGACAGGAATCAGGCCAAAGTAAATGCCTGCGCTCCAGGAAAAGAGTGGGATCAAAGGTCTTATTTATTCAGCTTTAAAATGAAAAAAAGCAATAAAACAACCACTCCGTGATCTTCAACCACCTGATCTTCCTAATCTTTCATTAGGAATGGCGTTAAGCTATATATATGGTTGGCATGGCGATTAGCACTCTAGAGTGGCTTTGCAGCTTTAGAGTCCTGGGTTCAATTCTGGACCTGGGGTGCCATCTGTATGGAGTTCATATGTTCTCCTCATGTTTGTGTGGGTTTCCTCCAAGTGCTCCAGTTTCCTGTCCCAGTCCAAAGGCATATTGGTAGCCAAATTGGTTTATGAAAAAACTGGCCCTGGTGTGAGTGTCTGTGTTTGGGTGTCAGCCCTGAAATGGAATGTTGTACCATCCAGGGTGTATCCTGCTTTGTGCCCATTGCTTGTTGGGACAGGGTCTGGCTCCCCCACAACCCTGAACTGCAGAAAGCTGTTAGCAGATGGATGGTATTAAAATGTAACAAAAGTGAGAATCCTGGGACTGTTGAGTGATGATGGTAGGAATTCCATCAGGCAATTTGTGAAAAGATCCAGCAGAGTCAATGTCAACAGTTTGGATAGGGATGTTGTTACAGACCTCCACCACCGTCTATGTAAAGACACGTCTCTGGTTCTCTGATCGACTTGTCTGCCAGTGGGAAACAAAACGAAGAACAGGAATATATGAGAAAAGAACAGCTGTTGGAAACATTAGCAATGCATTGTTTCTGTTCTTCTAAAAATTAATTTAGAAAGCATCTGATCTAATTGAATGCTTGATATTTTGTCGTTTTTGCACATGCATATATTTTCTACCTTGTAGTCTATCTGTTCTGCATTTTGTTTTTGCTTTATTATTAATAGAACTATTATAACAGAGGACACTGTTACCTTTCCAAAAATGTTTGTCTGAGATTTTTTTTCCTCATTTCTTAAAAACCAACAGTTGTCCGAGCAGATAGTATTGAAACAATCAAAAACTCTAGCAATTATCCCAAGTTCATTCAGAAAGAAAGGATTGTTCATATCAAAAGTGAGCAGAAGAAAATTAACTTGGCATCTGGTATCGGGTGAGACAGTATTTTGTATTCTGAAACAGCCTTAGCCACCTTACAAAATCAAAACTAGATTCCTTTTCAGAACTACACAGATCACATTTTACAGGAATTGTTCATCAGGTAAAACTTTCCAATATAGTTATTTAGATGGCATTCCAAAAACAATCTTTTACCAGCAAAGGAGAGAATCACACTTGAAAGGGGAATTAGCCTTTTAATTTCTTAATGTAAAAGAACTGTAAAATTTACATTTTAAAAAAAGTTAAAAGACATCAGAGTAAAAACAGAAAAGAATGACTATGTTTTAGTTTAGTTTTTTTTTTTACTGTTTCTTAAATTGCTTTAACTAATATTCACTTCTCTTTAATTCAAAATACTTTATTCATCCCCAGGGGGGGCAATTTAGGTATCAAGTGGTACAAAATACAACACATAACAATGAAAAAAGAAAAGATTGATGAGGAAAGAAAGTATATACAGTACATAAATAAAAAAGCACCATAAAAGTGATTGGAAGTCACAGAGTGTAGTATTTGAGGAGCTATTAAAGGAATGCACATTTGTAGAGGGGGGCTGTTGAGATCAGTGGTTGCAAACTATTTTAAAAAAAGATTCAGGTCAACAAAGCAGCAGGCCCAGAAGGAATATGTGGCAGAACACGAATGTATTGTGCTGAAAAAGTGGAGTGTTTCAGCACCTATTCCAGCTTTCTTTAGATACTGTGACTGTTCCGGCTGTGTCATGAACAGTTCTTTCCGGGCCCTATGCAGACGACACGATCCAGAAGGTGAAGAAACAATAGGGAAAAATATCATGCAGGAATGGGTCAGGAGACAGGGGGGCGTGTCCGAGGTGAGCAGGTGTCCAGGGGAAGTGAGTCCGCGGCGAACAATCCAAGCATAAATCCAACAGGGAAATCCAAAATGGGAGGCAGAGTCCAAGACCAGGGGATCCATCCAAAGTAATTAAAAACCAGAACCGGGTCGGGACCGGGAATCAGGAACAGGAAACTAAAACCATAACGGTGCCAGACGCAGCAGGACCCCGGGCTCTCACGAAACGGGATTCAATGCGAAGCGCCGGGCAAACGCCTGCGTCTGGCTTTAAAGGTGGAAGTAAAGAGGGGCTGGAATAAGGAACAGGTGTGGGGAATGGGACAGAACGAGGAAGGGCTGGAGCGCCCTTAAGAGGAGGAGTAACAATCGTGACAGGCTGGCTCTACAATTCTACCTGTTTCTAAGAAGAATAGACCTAAAGCTCTCAGTGACTTGAGGACAATAACTCTGACTGCATTACTCCATTAGTAATGAAGACTCAAAGAAAAGCAGTCAAGTCACACATTGTGGCTGCAGTTGAGTCAGATCTTGACACACCCTGTCCCCCTGTTTGCCTGCCGTCCTGGAAGGGGAGTCGATGATGCTAAATTTTATATTTACAGCAGTAGAATTCTTCAACTAGACTCCTCTTTGCTGATTTCTCTTCAGCCTTTAATACAATGCAGCCACACAATTTGGTTGAAAAAGTAATCACACGTTTCAAATTAGATCATCATCTTATCATGTGGATCATTAGTTTTCCGACCAATCGAATACAAAATGTATCTGTTAATGGTCTGGCATCTGACTCTGTTTGCACTTCTACTGGTTCACCACAAGGCTGACCTCTTCCTCCCCTCCTTTTCATCTTACAGTATATACTGATGACTGTCGGAGGGAACTGTGAAAATCACTGTATCGTCTGGTTTGCTGATGACAGTCCTCTCAGAGCCTGGACAAACACATGGACCTATTTTGGATGAATTGTCAACTGATGACATACTTATTCCCTAGAGATGAATGTGTCAAAAATAAAAGAAATGATTGTTGATTTAAAAAAACAAAACAAAGCGATATCATTCCTACAACAATCTATGGTGAGTCTGTCGGAATAGTCCACAGTTACAAATGTCTGGATGCTGTGTTTGACAATGCACTCAAGTTCACCAAGAACATGGATGTCATTGTGAAAAAATCCCAGCAGCGCTTACAGTATAGGGTCTGAGATCAAAAACTGAGATCATCTGGAGTCCAAAAAATATTCTTTCAACATTTTATAGCTCTTTTATTTAAAAAAAGTCTGTTAAGTTTTTATTTATCAGTTGGTTTAGTTCACTCAGTCAAAAAACACCTTCAAAACATGGTCAACCTCAGCTCTAAATTCAGTGGGGAGCCTTTAAGACCCCTGGGACAGCTGGCACAACTGTATGCCCAGCAGATCCTGAGGGAGGCCTGTGGCGTCACTGAAGACCGATCTCACATCCTTCAACCGTCCGTACTTTTGCCTTTAGGAAGACATTTTTCTGTCCACAAAGAGACAAAAGAAACAACTGACTGACCCCTCAGAGAATGTTGCCTTTTCTATAAAAATTTGGACCCGGCAATTATTTTTGTTATACACACCCAATCTGGCACTGTGTACTGTAGCTGCAGGTGCCCAGGAGACTGCAGGGGTCAATGGGCCCCTGAGAGCTGACAGAGGTCTGGCTAACTCACCCAATACTACCCTCAGAGCTGGGTGAATCAGCAGAACCTGGGTTTGAACCCATGATCTTAACTCTCAACTGGCTTGATTGAGCCACTTGGGAATGTAGACCTTTACACCCAGTCTTGAAGTAGTTATCTTCTAATATTGTCTGAGGTGTGCGATCCTGAAGTTGGACCTGGAGCAAGTCTGGAGGTCGGCCTCTCCATGCTGGGGAAGCGCAAGGTGGCACTGTTCTTGTGTGGCTCAATGCTTTGCAGGCCATAACTGGTCATGCAGTCCTGTTTGTGTAACTGCAAAGGGCTTCCCTGTGTCAACATGTAATGAGTGTTCCAAAGAGCTGTTTGCCCTTCCTGTGACAGAGCTCTCAGCTACAGAGAACAGGGCAGGATAGGGAACAGAAGGGAAAGGAACAGCTGCGTGTGAACTCGAGCACAGCCAGAACTTGACACAGCAGTGTCACAGCCCTGAGTGTCCAGCCCACATCTGGACTTCCTCAGCGCTAGGCTTATTTCTGTCAAGGGAAGCCCTTCTGAGAAGTCTGTCACTGAGTGTGTCACTGATCAGAAAAGGGAAGTGTGACAATAGGAGTCCCGTGAAAGGGCTGCTTGAGACCCCAGCTCTGCAGAGAGGGTTTACAAAACCTTCTCCGGAGGCTGACAGGAAACCATTAGGCAGATTTCACAAGGCATCAGTCAAAGTCCTCGAATGTCTGCGACTCAGAGGCAAACCCTGGTGTTCCAAGACAGGATTCAGTAAAAGACTTCAGGTAGAAAACTGAAGAGAATCACAGCTCTCCTTTCAGGCTGCAGGAATGCCGAAATAGACAAAATGAGCACTTCCACAAGGAATATCTGTCCCAGGTGTAGCAAAACGAGGTCAAGCGATATTTTCAGCTTTTTCAGCCAGAATGACAATATAGGCTGTGTGCCTCCCGGACACACATCATCTAATCACATTTATAAACGAGCTTTATGGAACATTTTGTTCATTGTGATTTAAATTTCCAAAGAAATTTGGTAGGTTTATGTGGCAGACTCAGGACACACGTTTTTAAACTGGGAATCACTCATTAGTTTTCTTTTTGTACCAACCCAATGCGGCATCAAGATCCATTGATCATAGTGTCCCTGTGAGCCCTGTGCTTTCCCAAGTGCTTTGCAGTGACTGAAGGAGAGGTGAGGCTCTCGCAGACACCCCACAGGCTCCAGTAGGGGGCACACCACCTCTCGGCCAACCCCACGCCTTGACCCATTAAGCCACCAGGCAAGCTGCTCTGCCATTGAAGCCATTCACGAGCCCCTGGGCTCATTAAATCATATTCCTGTAGAGCTTGACTGTGACACTGACAAACACAAGCTGGCATCATGCCTATGTCTTTTCTACAAGTGACAAATGCATGACTTTAATTGCCGTATATTTAAGATGATTCTCAATCAGCCATAATCAACATGTGGGCTTTAACAAATACAAAGACTTACAGTATGAGCCCACAACCTTGGTTCCGGTTTCTTTAGTTGTTAATTGAAAATTCTCCTGCTCATGTTCAAAGCACTGCATGGCTCCACTACAGCCAATGGGTTGTTTTTCCCTCACTTTATACTGCCTTCTTCACCTGCTGGACTCTGTCATCTTTTCTCAACGCAACATATCAGGCCTTCAGCTGGCATGACTTTGGAACGCTCTCCTAAAGCATCTATACAGCAATCAACTTTGAAAAGTATAACAAGGATTAATAATAATATCAATTAAGGGATTTAGAAATGGCAGGCATCCATTGGCAGTGTAGGTGTGTTAAGAGATCTTCACACTAGCACAACGGTCCCTTAGCAAACCCTTGATCTCCCTGGTCAGTCTCAGCGAGCTGCTGTTTGGGCTCTGTTGCACTCAAAGAGGTCAAGGCCGAGCCTGGGGAAGCCCTTCTGAAAGCTGCAGTCTAACCCATCTCCAGGAGAAACAGGAATATTAAAAACCCACTCTGCCCGCATCGGTATTTAGAGACCACTTTCTTTCTCTTTCACTTTCTGTGTTTTGATTGCTATTCTTTTATAATAAATCAAACATTCCCCAGCATGATTTATTGGACCCCTTCCTTTTAAAGAAAAGCAGAAGAAAAAATCTCTGATTCTCTCCCTCATGTTTCTACTTGACTCAAATGTCCAGATAGCAAAAGTGAAATAGCTAGTCAGAGTTGTAACATGTAGCAAGGAGAGGGAATCCATGTGGTTCTCTGTAACTCTCAAAGTTGTTTATGGAACTCGTGCAAACTGTACGTTCCTCAAGAACTATGTCGTCCCCCCCAACCCCCAACAAGCAACCAAAACCCCCCTGTCCCACAGTCCACCTGAGCACACACCCTGGGGCGAAGGCACCCTGTCCCATACTCCGCCAGGGTACACACCCCTGGGTGAAGATAACACTCTCTCCTGCTCCACCTGCCCTCTTGTGGTCAGGTGTCAGTCCACAGTTCCTGGGGGGCACAGACCCTCTTTCTGCACAGTTCTCCATTTGCAATCATGTTTTTGGAAAAAGGGGTCAAAAGGTTTCTCAGAAATGCCCTTAGCCTGGAGTAAAAGGTGCTTAATCATGTTTATTTGCCAGCATTTTTAACAAACAAGCTAACACAGAATTTTTCCTGTGTTACAGACAATGCCTTGGTATGGTGTACCATGACAGGTGCTACAGAAAAAAAGCATCAGATTATCTATACATTCATACTATGTTTATGCATTCTTAAGAACCTTACTAACCTGATAGGCATGAACCCCTGCTTGTTTATTAACGAAAGTCACGTCGTTCTCCAATCTCATAAAGCCTTATCACTGCGTACTGTAAGTGAGAGTTAATTGCTCTCTGATTCAGCTTTCTGAGGGTCTGACACGGAAAATATTCCCATTTTCCCCTTCGTTTCCACTGTTTACATCTGTATGATATTAATCTGAGAACTCGGGCGATGACGACTCTGCGCAGTTTCGCGGTGGCTCTGCTGTTGCATAATGAGAAGTGCCGAGCCTGCAAGTTTCTCCGAGTCTGTGGCAATTCTCCGCAGTGTTTCCCCTGGGTATCTGCAGGTGCTACGCCTTTGGTGTGGGGTTCGTATCAGAGGAAGTTGTTCTGGAAAAAAAAAAAGAAACTTGGTATTGTATTACAAGTGTTCAAAATGGGTAAAAAAATTGAATAATACTCTAAATATATTATTGTTAGGAGTAACAGCAGTAGTAAAATCATGCTAGGCATTTTGGTAGTGAGAGTGTGTAGATCTTATAATCCATATTATAAGCCATAATACACTAGTTGTGGTGACAATCGTAGCAGAAGAAATTTTTAGTAGAACTAGAATTGGGAGTTGTAGTAAGTTGAAAATGAATTTTTATTTCTGCAAGCGATATTTTCTTTTGGCTAATGAAACTAGAGGAATATGACTGCACTTCAAGGGAAGTTCCAAAATCGATTGACGAGGCTCCTGTTGCTGTACTCTGATGAGTTCGTGAAAAGTCCAAACAGGAATATTCAAGAACTGAAAGTGTGAGAGTGAGTATAAAGTAGGGTTAAACACAGGAGGCTCATCAGAAGAGCAAGACCTCTCAAAAATTAACAAGGACCAGAAGTACAGAAATCAGAAGGTAAGTTCAGAATTATCTGTGTCTTGTGTTTCCTATGTGGAGCTCCATGACTGATCGCTAGTATCTTGTTTGAATTGTGCATCTCTGAACAAGGCAGGTTGATGCTACTGTGCAATTCAGCACATTGTGACAGCAACATCTTAATGATCATTAATAATTTGCATACCCTGGGCTGAGTGTGTAAAAGCACTGACTCCTTCACTGATCAGGTGATAACTCCATTATCAGAGCCATTCGCTGCATTCCGAGGAGAATTTAAAAACTGGGCTGGAAACAAATTCTTCTAAGCATGACCAAAAAGGGTCATTCTGTATCTTCCAGTACTGCTGTACATACCATGGCTCCACTGATCTGATGCACAATCAACGTTTAATATCATTGGATACATCTGTCAAACTGAGGTATTAGGTGTCAATGCAGGTTAAGCAAGTGTAAAAATGTAAATGAAATTTTATTTAAAGAGTATCAAAAGCAAGTTTATAAACCAGAAATGCAAGATTATCACTTTTCGATGACGTCTGGGGTTGTGCACTGGGTGAGGGAGGTGGATATAGAGATCGAAGGCATTGAAGGCATCATTGTAATGACAAACACCATCTCTGTGCTCTCAAACGTGCCTTTTACTCCTGTGAAGATCTTCCCAAAAGCAAGACAAAAAACCATAAGGAACCATGAGTCCGGGCCATGGTAAAGTATGGCTCATATTTCTTTAATGATTTGGCAAAACAATTAAGTATTGACATCATTTCTAGCTGACTGTTTACTTAATAAAGTTGATCAGGACTCACTGGATCTGCTGAGAATTTAAGCTTTAATTCAAAACTGATTCACAGGGCAACAAAACCAGTGCATAGATAGATCAAATTTGGCTTTAATTGTATTAAAAACAATATCTGGTATTTTCAGCTGTCAACTCACTCACGATTATATAAAAAATAACTAAGCTACAAAATGAGATAATTTATGAGACTCATAAATTGCATAAAGCAATCTATGAGTAAGTACAAAACAGGTGAGGTCCAGACCTCATTGGAACAGAACTCTGGGTTTCTTTAGCAGTAAGCAGACTAGAGAGGAGACTCCCTCCCTGAATAGGAGATGGGAGCAACGCTGGTCCCCACACATACAGCAGAGTGGACTGAAGCCACTGGAGCACAGTATTTCTCTCAAGGCACAACAGCGGTGTCCGCACCAGGAACTCGAACCCACAGCCGACCAATCTGGTCACATCGGTCATTAAAAAAACTTTTCACATTAAAAATGAACTGAATAGAAGGATTGAATTTATCCTCCCATCACATTGCTCTAGCAATAAGATCTTTTCTATGAATTTAAACAAGGGAATCTGATCAGTCTTCTTGAGCCCAGGTGTGAAGGTCTAACCCTTTTCAAGAAGGAAGAAACCTGGATACACATGGGGAGACACACACTGACACATAGATAGATGAGGAGAAGAAAACAAGTCAGTTCTTACCATTGATAATATCCTTTTTTCCCTCTCCCTCTGCCCAGGGAAACATTTAACTGCCATGAGGGAACTTTGAGCTGTATGGACTTTGGATTTGTATGATTTAAAGACTTTCAATTTTAAATATGAAAGAGGATTGTGCTTCTTTTGACTTCCTTGGAAAGTCTGTTATGGGAGATCTGCAATTAACATTGGCTGGACTTGTGAAAAGGCCTGGTTTGTTTTTGTAAAGGTTTGCTTGGAGTTTAATCTTTCTTCATGGAATGCATTTACTTTCTTCACTTTTTTACTTTCTTTCAAGCATGCGAGAGAGTGGTTGTGGTGTGGACTAATTCAGCGTGATGGCTATTTAGTGTTAAAGCTCCTTGAAACATTCAGAAATGCTTACTACTTTTACCCATTTCCACAGTTCATCGAGATTGCTGTTCTTAGAACCGAATTACCCTGCAATCTTTGTGCTGCAAACCCACCTGGGCAGCAAACCAGGGCGGACTGTTACAGGCTTGAGTTCCTAGTCTTGCACTACTACATTAAACTACACTACCCAGCTTTCCCAGGTGGTATATTTTTAAAGAACAGTGCATGCTGGGATGGAAGGGAATGTTGCCTACAGTTAGAAATGTGAAGTCAGGTGGGCGTCTTAGGAAAGTTAACTGTACCTGAATGCTGGACCTGTTCCTCAGCTCTATCTGTATCCCACTGTTTCAGAGATGTCCTGTGTGTGGCCACTCCTCCTGTCCCTCAGCCTCCTGCCCCTGGTGAGCCCCCAAGAGCTCAAGAGTCAGGAGGTGACCTTCTCTCACAGCCTTCGGTTCTCCAGGAAGATTCTGAGCCAAGTCCGCAGCCTGCTGGTCAAATACGTAAGAGACTCCTATATTCCTCTCCATTGGAATAAGAGAACAAGTCAGAAAAAGACAACATTACTAAGTCTCAATGACTAAAAAGAAAAAAAAAAAGATTTATCTTGCTATATTAAAAGTTCTTGCTGTCTAACTGTGGGCAGGCAGTAAATATTTGGACGAGTTAACCCGAACTTGATCAGCACGGTTTTTCTCTCTGCCCTCAGAAAGAGCAGCAGCTGAGTGACCAGTTTGAGAATCACAACATAGTCCTGCGATCACTGCCCAGCGCCAACACCGCCTACACCCAGTGGGTCAACATGAAGGTATGGCACAGCCTGGGGCCTGGCACTGTGGTGCTCAGCTCATCTTCTCGCCCTTTGCTATGCCAAGTTTCGTCTAATTAGTTCAAATTAAATTCAGTAAAATCAGTGTATTGCTGGGGGACTACAGGCATGACTGATCGCAGCTCAGGTCTGGTTTTTGTGTGGAATCCCCTCCCTAACTTTACAGCAGACTGTTGTACTCCTTTAAATCCAGTCTGAAAAGTAATTATTTCCACCAGCTTTATTATTGTTTGATTTGTTTGTTCTGACTTTTTTTTGGTACGTTTTGTTAGTGGGTTTTTTTTAGTCCTCTTTTTGATTTAAAGCCCTGTTAAGCTTTATGTTTTATATTGAGGCTCTATAATAAAATATATTTTTTTAAATGGCATGGAGGGCTTTGTTGAAGTATCAGGGTTTATATGGTGTTTTGGCCTGTTACAGTGACATACCTCATCTAGGAAGATCCATAGTCTTGAACTCTCCCACAATATGGCCACAGCCTGTAGGAGGTGCTGTGCGGCTCAGGTTGGGGAATAGTCCGAGAGATGGCAATCTCTGCGTCTAGAGGGGGAATGAGCAGCAGGTCTCCTGTCTCCTGGCAATGATGCCACCCTAACAAGCTCAAGCACCGTACAAGCCCTGTTACACAGTGTGAAGAGTCCTCCTCACTGAAGGATCTGTGGTCTGTGCAGGATGGGGAGCGCCTGACAGCCTCAGCCCGAGACCTGCCGATATTCTTGGATCACGTGAAAGCGACAAGGATGTACCTGGAAAGACAGGAGAAAGGGCAGCCGTCCACTCTGACCCAGGCCATGACGGACATCCAGCTGGACCTCCAAGACCTTGTCCAGCAGATAAAATCACAGGTATTGAGCACCGTCCATCCGACGGTCACTTATTGATCCTCGCGCTTGTATGAGACTTGTATGAGACTGGAATATAATGCAGCAATTCTGTCACAGTACTAATGGCATTGTTTTACACCTCCATTTAAAAAAGAACAACAGGGGAGGAAAAGGATTTAATCCCGTAAAATTTACCAACAAGAGGTAACCCTCTGGCCCGCCTGCTCGTTTGGCGTCTCGCAGTTAACCGATCTTTCTTCAAGGCCCGCGGGGTGTCTGCTCCTGCAGTAGCTCGTGCCAGGCGCCGACGCCCCGTCGTGTCTCCCTGGACCGGGCGGATCAGTGACCTGTTGTGTGTCTGTTGTGTGTCCTCAGCTGCTGGCCATGAACCAGCCCACCCCCCATTCGCCCAGGCAAGGCCTGCTCAGCTCGCTGGTGAGGGGCAGCTCGCCCTGGGAGAGCCGGCTGCAGGGTTACATCGTGCTGCGGGAGCTGGAGTCCTACATGAGCAGGGTGGCCCGCGACTTCGCGCTGCTGCGGGCGAAGCCCCGGAAGTGAGAGGCCCCCTGGGGGCCCACAGGCTGCCTCGGCCTGTGAAGTTTTTATTTTCACTATTTACGTATTTATTATTTATTGACTTATTTATTGCGAGACATCAGGGATCTTCGGGAAAGTTCCGAAATGGCAACACTGACGGGTTTTCGTCCACGGCTGCTTTCAGGGGGGACGGGTTATGAACCTCCCGCGGGAGGTGGCAGGAGTTTCGACTGACAGCTGAGTTTTCCTGCAATTTTCAGTCTCAATTGTCCATATTCCCCGAAGACTGGGAGACTTGACAAGGAAGCTGCAGCAAATTTAAATCCACTGGATGCATCTAGACACTAAATGTCATCCAGTATCTTTTTCATACGAAATGTTTTATATTTTTTTACGTATTTATTAATGATAATTTAGTTTTATATACTGTACCAAACCACTTCCATATGTCTGTAACTGACAAGATACTGTTATCCATAAAGATCCTTGTATAAAAAAAAATCCAGAAATGAAATTCCTGTGGTCAATTCAGTGGTTCTTTACTTAATGGAAAAAATAAGATGCTGTGGCTCAGATGCCAACTTTCACTTCCATCTTCCATCAAAGCTTTCGGGCACTAGAACTGCCCATGGCCCAGCGAGGGGGGTTCATGGGAAATTTGACCAACACTTCCAAAACCTTGCAGGGGAATCACAATATGCTCCCCTACAGAGAACAGAAGGGAGCGGACGCTGAGCCTGCTCATTTCATTTGCCTCAGTTTCATCGCCAGAATTAGGCTTTCTAAAGAGTAACTGGGGTGGAATATCAATAAATCCAGAAGGGGGCATGTGAGCATTTCCAGAACGAATCCATATGACTCAAAACCCTCCAATGAAATAGTGTATATACTATATGAGATTTATGGTGTGCCCTGTTAAATACATTATGGATGTGACTTTCTAGTGATAACACACATTACGTTAGGAGCTGGGCTCAGGCTGGGATGTCCCAAGCAATGACTCATCACTAGGCTGAGCTGGTTGGCGGGCATCAGGTTGGCTGGCCACACAACAGCAGGGAGCAGTGCTCTGCTGTTTCAGAGGGATGTGCACAGACCTCAGAGCTCCCCGCACTGGTGTGAGAGGCACAGAAGGGCCATACACTAGGTACCTGAGGTCAATAGACTGGTGAGGCTTTAAGAAAACTCTACAACCTAGAGGAGTTTCCTTTACCTTTCTCATTTTAAAAACCAGGAGCTGAAGACTTAAACGGTCCCTGCTAAAGACCACATGTTTATTGACAAAAAAAACTACTGGAGGCCTATTTCCCATTCAACTGGAAACAACTGGATGTTACCAGCTCTTTTATAAAGTAAAACTTTGAAATCCATTTTGTTTTTTGACACACAAGGATTATGGAGTTCAAAAGCCATCTGTACCCGTTTATCCACAGGTGAAAATACAGAAACAAGAGTAAATATATCCATAAAAAAATCTAGGTAGATGAGAAAGACGAGAACGTTTCTATCCAAAAAAGTGGCTTAAAGACCGGTAACAATGCTTCACCATTTGCAATGCTGTTACTACAATTTCAATTCTTATGAAGACAAACATCCTGAAAATGTTAAATACTAACTCATCAAAGAATCCATGTTAATGTAACAATGCTAGTAATGTGCTTCTTTGACAAAGCTACAAAAGTCACTTCATCGTTTCACCGTATTAACACTGGGAAAATTCTGACAAAGTTATATACAGTAGCTTATATTCATGACAGAATATATAGAGAGACAGTTTTTCAAGTTCAACCTTTTCAGTTCAGTCTTCTCAACACAGGTTCACTTATAAAGTCTTATACCCGTGACTGCAGCAGCAGTTGGTATCTTGGGCTTTCTGTGGTGCGCACTGTCTCCACACTGAGGAGGACCCATCGCCCCGAGAACACTTCAGACCCCCCTGTTATGACCTGCACCTCATCTTGTAAAAGGAACGGTCTTCATCCCGATTCCTTCCAAGTCAAAACCAGTTCAACTCCAGACATGACCCAGTCCTGTCCAGACTCGTGGGCACAGACGGGCTGGAAACGGAAACGACAGCGCTGGACCAGCGATGAGAACATTTTTAATCTGACTGGGAGAGTAAGCCAGACTTCAGTTGTGCAGCTCTGCTCTTGGTTTATTCTCAGAAACAGCGGTATGTTTAAGATACTTGTGGCTGCTGTACCTTTAAAGCAGCACTTCATTAAGGGCGATGTTAGTTTAACGTAATACTAAAGAATAATAATTATTAATTAATTAAATGAATTTATTAATAATTGCTTACACTTATATAGGGCTTTTCTGGACACTCCACTCAAAGCGCTTTACAGGTAATGGGGATCCCCTCCACCACCACCAGTGTGCAGCCCCACCTGGATGATGCGCCAGTATGCTCCCCACACACCAGCCCTCAGTGGGGAGGAGAGCAGAGTAATGAAGCCAGTTCAGAGATGGGGATTATTAAGAGGCCATGACTGGTAAGGGCCAGGGGGAAATTTGGCCAGGACACCCCTACTCTTTTCGAGAAACACCCTGGGATTTCTAATGACCACAGAGAGTCAGGATCTCGGTTTTACGTCTCATCCAAAGGACGGTGCCTGTTTACAGTATAGTGTCCCCGTCACTATACTGGGGCATTAGGACCCACATGGACCGCAGGGTGAGCGACCCTTGCTGGCCCCATTAACACCTCTTTCAGCAACAACCTTAGTTTTTCCCAGGAGGTTATCCAGGTACTGACCAGGCTCACACCTACTGGGCTGCCAGTTGTTGCGAGTTGCAGAGTGATATGGCTGCTGGATTGAAAGAAGTCAGTCTTTAACCACTGTGGCTCCGCACTGCGAAACTCATGTAACAGCCCAACCAAGCAGATGGCGATGCGAGTCCAGCATCACTCCGCAGCCCGTCCAGGGGTCGCTGGTGGTGATAAGTCACCCCAGCGGCTCCTGACTAGAAGCCTACAGGTCAGTAGGGCACGTCTCCATGATGACATCGGCTTGGCTCAACGCTTGCCTTCTGCCTGACCCGCGCATACGAGAGAGACGACCAGCCCTGCCTGCCAGGCACAGCCTCAGGTGCAGGACTTGATGTCCAGACTCTCTCTGGTTTTCGCAAAGTCCTTCAGCCTTCTCACCCCCGCTTTGGAGATTTTGTTGTCAAACAGCCTGGTGGAGAGAAAAGATACAGGGAGAGGATATCGGTACCATCGTGTTAAATTAAATAGGAGGCACCACAGCAACTGACATTAAAAAACAAATGAACTGGAAAATGAACAGTACTTAATGCAGTGTGAAAAAACATCAAGGAAGATAAACATTTTACATAATACCATAACCAAAACAGAAAGGTTGGGAAATGAAGGAACGAGAGGTTATGATTATGGTTATGCAGTCTGAGCAGGAGCAGGAGGCTCTGGAGGTGGCTGAGGTGGCAGTGCGGCACCTGCAGGAGAGGAACAGCAAGGACAGGACAGGCGGCCAGCAGGCAGAGCACCTGGTAGAGAAGCCACTGAGGAGAAGGAGAGTGGAGCACCAGTACGGGACGGCTCACCAGAGATACTCCAGCGTGGTGTTCTCGCGCAGAGCCGCCATGAAGAGCTCCGCCCCCTTGTCCGTTATCAGGTTGTCCCGTAACCTGGTGGCCAGAAACAATCCCAAAAGAACCAGGTCAGACTTTCCAGCAGCTGAACCTTACCGAGTGGAGTTACAGGGCCGAATCTGCACAAGCTGCCCGGACAAACCGATCAGGGCAAACTGATGGTCAAGTTACACAAAGCAGGGCACAGCCAAGGGGCTGACAAGCAACAGACTGAGCTACAGGCAGTTAAATGGGGTGACCACTTTGATCAAGGGATCCCTTTGGACTTATTTGGAGTCATCTCCGTTCTGTTAATTAGAACTACTAGAAGCTGCAATTATAAAGCAAGCTTCATTGTTTCTTTACTCATGTCAGGTCCTTCCCTAACAAGTACTCTTCTCCAAGTGCTTTTCCCTGCGTGTGCCCTGCCAGGTCCTACAGAGGGACTCCAGCAAGGTTTCCTGAGGTCAGTCAGCACGTTCTCTGCCTCCGAGAGACCTGTGTGTCCTCACCTGATGTCTTTAAGAGTCCTGTTCCTCATCAGGACGTCGGCAAGGCAGCCAGCCCCATCGTCTCCAATGTTATTAATGGCCAACCTGCACAGATCAGAAGGAAATACCATACCGAGTAGAAGTAGTTAACACTCTCGCCCACGAAAGCAATTAAAAGAGCCATTTCACTTTTCAAACAGACTTAACATCGCTCACTAGTGTACAGATCCCTCACCTGGCCACTCTGCCCTTCCAGAGGATATGCATGCTTCTGCATTCCAATTCTACAATCTGAATCAATAATTAATCATGCAGTCTCTGTCTTAGTATCAATTATCCACTAAGTATTTGCTCCCAAGTGTGCAATAGCACATAAAAACATAAGAAGTTAGAGAGCCCCTCAGACCTTGTTGCATTTCTTTGCTTGTTAGTTGCTCAATGATCCAATAATTCCATCAGCAGGCTCGCAAACCAGAGAATGAAATGTGGAGGAGAAGACTCTCACCTCAAATCCACAACAGTGCTGTTCTCTTTCAGGCCTTCTGACAACATCTTGACCCCCTCTGACCCCAGGCCTGCACCCACCACCCTGCAACAGAAGCACAACACCCATCACTGGTGAACAAATGTCACCTGTCAATGAAAACCTGAATTCCCAGGCCATGCTCAAACTTCATATTCTGACTGAAGACACTTCGGGTACTGACGCTGCAGTCATGCATGGATCTCTTTCACGAACATCAGCCAGATTCACCATCAGCCTTTCCTTCAAAGTTGCAGCTGTTGAAAGTGGAACACTTCTTGGTTGTGGTGCTGGTTGAAAAAGAAAATCTCGTGGTCTACCCTACTCACCACAGCCTCTCGATCCTGCAGTCTGGACTCTTCAACACTGTGGCCAGGACGGCAGCTCCCTCACTGCCCAGGGGATTCTGTCCCAGCCTGACACACAACAGAGACAGGGAGCCTTTAAGCCAGAGGATCATCACAGAGCCATGGCTGCTGGACATGTGTCTAATGTGGTCTGAGAGAAATGTGCTTTGGTGGCCGTGCACCACTGGTGTAAGTTAAGGTCGCCGGACTTTCAGGGGTCATTACCTTCAAGACTTTCTTTACCAAAACAAAAACACATTGAATTATTTTTATCAGGGGAGTTGCTAAAGACTCAAAATCACTTGCGTGGCAATACCACTGGCTACAAGGAAGGGGGCGCACCTGAGAGTGCTGAAGAATGGCAGGACGGGCAGCAGCCGGCGCAGCCCGTCGGCCCCCAGCCCGCGGTTCTCCAGGTTCAGCTCGTCCAGATTGTTGGCCAGCTGCAGCAGGAAGGCCAGCTCGGTCCAATCCCGGGGGCTGTTCTGGGCCTGGCCCTGTGAGACGTGCGCCAGCCAGCTCTTCAGCCGGTCCATCATCCCAGGGTCCTGCGCCTCGTACAGGCAGTGACACACGTTGACCTGCCTCTCCGGCACCAGGCTGCTGCTGTCCAGCTGCTTGTGAAGCAGCCGGAGGAGGAAGAGCTGGGGGTGTGCGCCACCGGGCGGCGCGAAGATCCCCTCCAGGATCTGGCGTGTCCGGGGCACCAGCAGGCCCGACACAAACCTGCGCGGCACAGAGACAAACTGCATCAGCAAACACTTCCACAGCAACAGACATCCCTACTTTTCAGTTTCTGAACACCTGTAGCAGAGTGCTGTGCACCCATTTGGAACACATTTCATACAGGACAGCACTAATAGCACCCTTGCAGGGATGTGGAAAAGGAATTAATAATAATTCCTTACACTTGTGTAGCACTTTTCTGGACACTCCACTCAAAGCACTTTACAGGTAATGGGGATCCCCTCCACCACCAATGTGCAGCCCCACCTGGATGATGCAAGGGTAGCCAGAGTGCACCAGAACACTCCCCACACACCAGCTCTCAGAGTGATGAAGCCAGTTCAGAGATGGGGATTATTAGGATGCCATGATTGGTAAGGGCTAGGGGGAACTTTGACCAGGACGTCAGTGTAATCTAACACCCCTACTCTTTTTGGGAAACATCCGGGGATTTTTAATGACGGTGCCATTTTACAGTATAGTGTCCCTGTCAGCAGCCTTAGCTTTCCCAGGAGGTCTCCCATCCAGGTACTGGTCAGACTCACACCTGCTGAGATTCTCTGGGCTGCCAGTCGTGAGTTGCAGGGTGATATAGCTGCTGGCAGAACTGCTGTTACTGTTATAGTTGTTACCCTGCATGGCAGGGAGTTCATTTGTTGACAGTTTTCCAATTGGGATAAATCAAAGTATTAATGGAATCAGAAAACAACCTTTTAACTTGGTTGTAAATACAAAAAAACTGCATAAGATACCTGCAAAAGAGATCCATGTGGCCGGACTGATGGCGATGGCTCCAGTTAAAGGCCTCTTTCACCCTCTTCCTGAGAACTCGTTCTGGGCCGAAGAGCTTTCTCATCCCGGCTGCCAGCCTCCGGTGCACAGGAAGCAGGGCGGACTTCAGGCAGGAAAAGGGATCCATGCCGGTCTGGGATTCCAACACGTAATACAGAGCAGCAAAGAACTCCTGCAAGCTGGTGTGGACAAAGTGATAGCTCTTCTCGTAGGCAAGAAAGTCGCGATCCTCTTTCAGAATCTCCACCAGGAACATTTTTGACAAGTCATTCTGGTCGAGGGCGAACCAGGTGAGGTCTCCTGGGCCAAAGATAAATCTGCGTTCAACTAAACCCTTGAACGCGAGGGCGCCCAGATCTTTCAGCCGAGGCCTCATGGTCCTTAGCAGCTGCTGAGCCTTCAGGAGCTTCTGAATCTGGGATCCATCTTTCTGTTCCCCATGGAAAACCAGAATGGCTTTGAGGAAGCGGCAGTAGATCTCCGTCACAGTGATAGTGTTCTCAGTCCCGGCCGTCACAGAGATTTTCTCTTGCAGGGCAGTAACAATGATCCAACAGAAAGCTGGGATATGGCACATCAGGAAGAGAGGGGGGCGAGCCGAGACATATTGCCAGATTTCATCGGCTGCCTCCGGAGTCCCACAGCTCTTCCTGAAATATTCTTTCTGCTGGAGAGCTGAGAACCCTAAGATCTTGTAGAAATTCTGGATAAGCGCCTGTGGAAGTTTGCTGACAGCGTGAGGCCTGGAGGTTATAAGCATGGAGCAGCCATGCAGCAGGTTTCCCTTGAGTAGATTGACCACCATGTGATTGATTCTCTGAGGCATTTCAGGATCAGTACATTTCGGCGTCTTGTCAAAATCCAAGGGAAACTGAAACTCATCCAGCCCATCAAAAATGAATAAAATCCGAGAGGGATCTTTGGAGAAAACCTGGTTTAAGATGGGCTTCAGATGACTGTAATGGGTGGACAAGAGTTCCTGCAGGCTCCTGCACTCTGTGATGAGGTTCAGCTCCCTAAAGGTGAAGATAAAGACAATCTTGGATGTCAAGGAATCCTTGGACCAGTACTGGACAAACCTTTTGGTGACAGTGGTCTTGCCACTACCTGCCACACCACAGAGAACGGCGGTGACCATGTCCTGCTGCAGCAGATTCTTACTTATGGTCTCAAATTCACACCTGCGCTCCGAATCCAGCTTCTTGAAAGCGTTCCCCACCTCCGTCACCTCATGCTGCCCCCGCACGGTAAAAGTCTCGTTCAGCGAAAGGGTGATCTCGGTGTAGCTCTCCTCCAGGGGCTGGCCGGGCCTGCTCTTACCAATGTAATCCACCACTGTGCCATGCTGGCTGCCCAAAATCTTCTTGTGTACCTCCAAGAGGTTCTGGGGAGTTTCTAAGCTGCTACCTTGACTGTGCTGCTGCTGTGGCTGCATCCGAGCCTGGAGCAGGAGGTGTCTCTTCCTCTCCAGCATGTCAACGAAGGCCCTGCAGGACTCCTCCCCCCTGCCGTGCAGCACATCCAGCAGGTTTCTCATCTGGTCCGTCTTCCCCAGGTGATCCCCCCGGACGAAGCTCACGTCCTCGGTGGTGATCACCTGCTCCTCGTGCAAGAGGTCCAGGACTTCGGAGATGCACCTGCTCCACATCTCCACCAGCTCCGGCCTCCGCTCCTGGAGCTGCAGGCTGCAGGGCCCCACAGCCATTCTCCACAGGCGGCCTCTCCCACGGGCTGCACCCTCAAACGGAGCGTCTCCTCCCCCTCTTCGTCGTGTGCAGGGCCAAGAGGAAGCACTGGCGGTGGCCAGCGAAATCAGCCCTCCTCGGCGTGCTGCTCATAGCTCTTCCTCCTGCTCCATGAGCAGATCACTGCGGTCTAAGGAGAAGGAGAAGAAGAAAAGGTTATTATCACCAGCAGCCCACTGAAGCTCAGCAGGTGTGAGCTTGGCCAGTCCCTGGGTCCTAATGCCCCAGTATAGGGACAGGGACACTATTCTGTAAACAGGCGCCGTCCTTCGGATGAGACGTAAAACTGAGGTCCTGACTCTGTGGTCATTAAAAATCCCAGGGCGTTTCTCGAAAAGAGTAGGGGTGTTACCCTGGTGTCCTGGCCAAATTAACCTCCTGGCCTTTACCCATCATGGCCTCCTAATAACCCATCTCTGAACTGGCTTCATCACTCTGCTCTCCTCCCCACTGAGAGCTGGTGTGTGGGGAGAGTACTGGTGCATCATCCAGGTGGGGCTGCACACTGGTGGGGGTGGAGGGGATCCCCATTACCTGTGTCTTCAGGACATGCTAGACCTGCTGGACACACATGAGCCTGCAGTTCCTTCACTGGCGCAAAGCCCACAGAACACAGTCTGCTGTCTGCCGTGCCATTAGCACTGTCAGAGGCAATCGGACCATCTTGCATCTGAATATACAGTATCAACAACGAAGAGCGAACGGCCTGGACAAGCCTCACGTCCCTTGGGAACACCCGGCCACCGCAGAAGACAGGTCTGCACTCCTGCAGCAGGTCTTCAGGGTTATTCGGACTCTTACATTTACTGATCTGTCTCCTACAAAGCACATCTACTGTACCGCCTAACTCTGGAACAGGGATCTTCAACGAAAGGTCCCCAGATACGTCACCACTGGTCTGGCCAAGTAAGCTAAGCTCACAGTAGATCTGCGATCCCACTTTTAGTACTACAGGAAGACAGTGATTGCAGGGCTCAGCTTGATCTGTTGTTTATATGGGGGTCCTTATTTAAAGGGGACCTTCCAGAAGAAAGAGAAAACCCCCGATATAAAAGCCTGCCTGCAGCTCGGCTTCTGAAGCTCAGTGTAGCACAGGTTGTTCCGGGAAAGTCCCGACTTTGCCGAGTCCTTCAAACAGCCCCGGGTGATGCAACTGCAGCTTGCGAAGTAAACATCCAGGGAAAAAAAAAAACCCAATTAAAAATCACAAACAGAAAATACCACGTACAGCGCGTTAACTCAAAAAAAGACGTGAGTGATAAGCCCCTACTTTACCGAAGAACTAAAACCAAAATTAAATTCAACCGCGTTGGATTAAATCCACGCCCTCCTCTCGCATTATGGCGCTTTCAGACGCCAACACGATCCACCAACACGTCTGAAAGGGCTACAAAATAGCGATTAAGAGACGACACGCCCTGGTGTTGTTCTTCTAGGAATAAGAGAAGCGAGATTATTACCTCGTCTGAAATCCGACCCCGGCGGAGAAGCTGGTCTGGACTGCCTGACAGGTCTCCGAGAAAGGAAGACGGTTTTCCAGCGATTGTCCAGCTTTGTTCAAGTAACTTCCTTTTTTCAGGTCGCAGGCATTTCTTAGGTACAAAAAAACAAACAAACAGGCAAAGTACTGACCCAGTCACCAAGTCATTGCAAATGCCTTCCTTTCTCTTTCGATTAAAAATGGACAGTATTTTTTCCGAGCAAGAATAGACGTGACTGTATTGCAGCAACTCTGACACAAAAAATGAGAAATCATATGACTTGCCGTGTCGCCCCACCTCCCAAAACACAGTCAGCTGACCCAGCGAAGGGCTTCATTCATTCTCGGGCGTGTGGAGTGTGAGCAGACTTTAAACACGGAGGATTCTCGATATATCCGACCGCTCATTCAGTTTTACTATGAGTGCTCTTTCTAAAACTCCTGTAATGTCTCCTTTTAACCACGGTTAACAAAGTATCTAGGATCGGATTTTAGTTAAAAGCTGCAGTCCGCCTCATGCAACCTTTGCCTGCTTCAGAGGAACGAGTCCAGTTCAGTTAATAACTTGTTGGATTGGTAGATAAAAGCTCTTTTGGAATGAAAAAAGAACTTACAGCCAACCGGAGCTCCTTTCTAAGGGCGAGACGTTAATTTCAAAACTGGACCAGGACATTAATACTAGACTGTGTTACTTACTAAGCACGATGCCACGATTAATACAGACGACAGAAAGAGAAAACTGCTTGATTGTTAACAGCTGTAAAAATATCCAATTCAAACCCCATTACACATAACCAACCTCCCTTAAAAGCAAGCAACAATGTGAACAAATGGATCTAAAAAAAGGTCTAACTTTTTTAAAGCTACAGTACATCTACAGAGAGGTTGCTTATGACCTCATCTTCAAACCGCACTGTGGAAGACTGAACAGCTGTTTGAATAAGCCAAACCATGTATGGTAATGTGCAGTACATACCGTCTACACTCATATTCCAGATAGCAGGTGTGCTTCAAGTGTATGCAGTATCTACTGTACATTACAGCATGCCTACCATCTGGCATATAAGTCTATACAGTAAATGTATGCTATACACTGTAAACATATATACTGTATACACATTCTAGATAGCAGGCATGCTGTAATGTGCAGTATAAACAGTGTACACTTATATTCCAGATAGCAGGGCTATCTAATTGCCTTACAATTCTTCCATTGTACACTGTTCCAGATTGTGAGATCCAACCAGCTCCATAACTTCTGCATTGATTCTGCTTATGATCCATTCAGTGATTAACAAGCTGTTAATAGGACACTTCTGATACTGAGCAGACCGAAGGCGTCTCAGGCTGAGTGAGAGACCAAGTGGAAGCTGCCTTTTAAACCAGGGGGATGACAGGTTTTCAGATCCCTTGAGGAAGACCATGGAAAAGCCTTCCAGAGAGACTGTGCTTCGGCCAGCACTGCACAACCAGACCACGGACCACACACAGGGTTGGTTTTAAAAGGTTTTATTGTTTTCAGTGTATTCCTCTGATTATACAAGAATGTGTATACAATTCAGAACTGATACATCGTCTTTGTTTTTTTTTTAATTAGATAACAGAAACTGGTGCAAGACAGGCTGGAAAAGAAAAAAAAAAACTTGTTTTACCAAACCCGCTGCAGGCTCATCTCCCCCTCTTGAAATAAATGACATCATCAGGAAGGTAGTTAAAGGAGCGGAACAGTCAGCGTAATCCAAGATCCCTTTAACGCGCAGTGCGGCAAAAAAAAAATCTGCGAACAGCCACACAGCTTTAGAAAGAGAAGTTGTCCTGTAAAAATTGTTTTAAAACACAAGGCACATCAGCAAGTCCCATTCTTAGGGAAAAAAAGGATATCAGAAAGGTATGAGCATGCACTTGGCATTAACGATTGGCTCCAAGTTTTGTACACTTTTCCCAAATCATACCTCCTACCAGCAGAATATCAGAAAACTCAATAAATAAATGCGTAAACAGTTACAGTAGACAACAATGAGATTTGAGCATTGTTTGGCTAGTCAGCTTTGATGCTATGCACCCTGGGAAAGTGTTAAACAAGTCAGGTTGCCTGTGCGCTTCAATGATTGGCCACCGAACCTAACTGGAGGCTGATGTGACTGAGGCATGACTTGAGCTTTTGACACGACGGTGTGCAGGAAAAGCTTTGTGGAGTAACTCCTAGGAACCCCAGCTTGTGATGTTCCAAGTTTCCAGGAATCAGGTGCACAGAGCTCCCAGCTGTGTTTTGACACAAGTACAGGGTCGAACTCTCGTTGTCATTAAAAGTGAAACTGCGAGGCTGAATTTCTCAACTCCTTGACCCAACCACCATTCAGAGGGTACAAGCTCAGCACTCCCACTGGGGAGAAGCAAATGTCGTGGCACCAGGCCCCAGTCAGCACCTGTATGGACTTACTCCAGCCTTAGCAAGACTCAAACTTTGTCTCTAGAACACGCTGGTCTCCTCAGGTCTTCCAGACCCTTCCTGGTAGGTCTTGGAGAAAGACAGCAGTTTTAGTCAATTAAAACTGTTATGTAGTTTGATTCCATAACTCAGAGCTCAGATGTAAGGAACCCCAGAAGGTCAACTTGACCAATCTGAACCACAACAAACGAAGACATTGGAAAGAACTAGGACAGTCTCAGGGGCTCAGTCTCTGCTCCTGGTACACCAAGCATCTTCTGAAATTTCAACAGCCAGACCAGCAAAGTAAGTGGTCCTTTGTTATTTATACAGAATGTTTCTTAAGGTCTTTAACAGTTAAGCACCCAAAACATTCACTTCATATAAAGGGAAGGTTATGGATACAACTGCTCAGAACATGGTAGAAGTGTTGCCATTGTCCAGTTAAAAACATCCAGCATGTATCAGAGCTGGACTGGACTGGTACAGAACTGTACAGACCCTGCAGCTTCCAGGAACTCCCAGACCCTTGAATTAGGAGGTCATAATTACTGTACTGACAAGAAAAAGCCTGTGTAAATTTAAAAAGAGCCGTTTTAATCCAGATCCCAAATCATCGTATAACTAGGCAACTGCAAGTTACTAACGGCTGCTTTCTTTCAGACAACCCTGTGCCCCAGTCCTGAGCCTTTCCCAGTGAAATACAATCACGCTGATTAGATCACACAATGCAATAGTTACCTGCATGCGCCGTGATGCGTCATTCACCGGTATTCACCAGACACATGATTTTCAGCAAGTATAGACACTGCTGTCCGTGATCAGGGTCGGGGGGCAGGTGCTGGTCAGCAAGGTGGACACTGCAGTCTGCGATCAGGGTGAAGGGGCTGGTCAACAAGGTGGACACTGTTGTCTGTGATCAGGGTGAAGGGGCTGGTCAGCTAGGGTGTCTTGCAATTAG